GTAGGGTAAAAATAATGAGGTTTAAAAAAAGAATTAACGACCTTTCCGTCCCGTTATAAAGTATTAAGCCGGGGGTAATGGAGAGGCGTCGTGGAGGAAATAAGGAGAGTAAGAAGAAAGAGGTTCGACTAGATTAGCCAACACTCGCTGGACTAAAACTAGGAAGAGAAGTAAATTGATAAACAGGATGGAGGGAGGTTTTAATATTATTCGCCTCGTTTTCGTATTTTTTCAGGGTCTTTTCTACCCGTCTTGTTCCAGCTAATACATACTACCAGTATTATGTCTAATAGTACATAGTAATAGTACATAGTACACTACATAGTACACTAAACTTTCCATGTGGCTCCATGGGTACCAAATCTTACCGAGCTTATGCTATAGAAGGTAACTATGCTAACTACGGTAGGCCGAACCAGGCAGACCAGGGGGCAATGCGGACTCTTCGTGAAATGCGAATACCTAATAATGATTCATAATGGTGTATATAAGCGCATTTATGCAAATTTTATGCTGCCTGACTCAATTTTAACTAGTGGGATTAAGGATGTGAGCTTAATTTTTTAGTGTCTGATACCGATAGAGTACATTATTAAACTAATATCGATGCTACATAGATTAGGTACTATATAAGTACCCTCGTCTCCGTCTCCGTTGCTCCACCGTCCCCAGACGGTCTTTATCTCGGACCCCGTCATTTGCCGGTCAACGGGGGATTATCAACACCGCAATACTACCTAACATACTAAATTACCCATTATCTTTGATACATACCTAAGAGCTGAAATGCACAAATTCAATCTAGACTTGGGGTACTCGGGTACTTATTCATACAGCTGATGTAACATGCTTTCATACATAAATTCCTGACTACCGGCTTTGTCGCGATAGCAATACATATTTAATATGTTCTCAGCCTTTTTGCCTTTCTCTGCTTATAGCAGCCACAGAGTCATTTTATAGTAAGACAAACCAATCATTCTTTATTATCAACTCCGTATTATATCATCACATCATATCATATCATCATATCAGTTCCAAAGCTACCTGCTTGACGGTTATGTAACTACATTTAAATTATATCATACCTGTTATCCGGATGTATGTTGCATTTAATGATCTAGTGTAAATGGCTTTGTTTACTTAGGTATGTATTAAAAACATTGAAATGCCTACTATATTTTTGATACAAACATACTTACCTGGTAATCAATCGACTTGATAAAAACTACGATTCGATCTTATCAGCGGGTATGATCTATCAAAGTATTCGTTTGGCACCGCGCTAAAAAAAAAAAAAAAAAAAAAAAGGAGACCGAACCGAGAAAGCTCGGATACATATGACTTATGCATCTATATTACATATAAGTGGGCTACCAAGAGTTATATTTTGTGAAAATCTTAAAACGTAAGCTTTAACCAATAAGATGGTTTTCATTCGTCTCTTTCGCTCAAACTAGTAAGTAGTCCGGCGACTTATTGACCCAACCATCAAATCCGGCCGATGCAATTAGGCAGGCAGGCAGGCAGGCAAGCCGCAAAAAAACGATTTGAGAATATTAAGGAGCCGCACACCTCCCGAATAAATATTCGGGGTCTTCCAACTCTCCGACAGCCCGTAACCATAAAATCCGACACTCCTCATCTACCCTTCAACATCAGCACCCTACCAGCCTACCGAAATACATTCTTAAATAATATGTAGTGTATGTAAAGACGTATACTGGAACATTCCAGATTATATACATAAATAGTTCAATTACCTAGCATATGTTAGCCAAGCCAAGTCATGACGACATCCCATCAATTAATCTACTGTGGTACATAATATTATTTATCTCCGATAGATCTGAAGATCTCGGTGCGCTTCGGAGTCCCTCATATATCCGCACCCCGAAACTGCATTACTCTAAGTTACAAGATGTAAACTAGCTTTATTAAATCGTCTTTTGAAACTATCGCCAACGTTACGGAAGTATTCGAAAACACTCCAGAAATCATGTCATAGCTCAAGATCTTACTGAGGATCACACGTAGATGTATGTATATATGTGTAAGTACTTGGATAGTATGATTCAAGATTATCTCACAGCTGCATGCCCAGCACTGAGCAAGATTCACAACCAACAAAAAACCCGACAATCCTATTTTCTAGTACTGTACAAGGGGGTTTAAATGATTTGGGAAAGATGACCGACTTATATCTGTGTATCGTCCGCGAATCGGCTTTGATACCTCGTAATCGGTGCCTCGTACTCGGTACTCACTACCGGGTGTCTTGGTCCCAATAATATTGCGCTTATGCATATGGCAAGGGTTGTAGCGCATCCGTGTTGTTGGGAATCCTACATCAGACAGAATAATGCCAGTATCAACTAGATAACTATACTATGTATAATTGTCAGGTTCTATCCAATTCAGCGTTGCCCCCGAACCTATGCCTCGTAGCAGTATGTTCATACGCGCCATCAATAGATTCCTTACTTTGCTGATGCGATAAGATGTTCCGTCCTTCCGAAAGCTAATGATCGTCAGCAACGAATAACGGGGTGAGGTAACTAAGTAGTTGATCCTGGTCCTGTTTATACGCGCCGTGTTGGTTGGTCGAGTTGGCATGTGAAGTCAATCCGTCGAAATTCGACTTGGTCTCCTAAGAGCACTGCAGATCAGGATTCTTCTGGTTTTTTAAGAGTTCCATAGGTCTACAAAAGTTATGAATCGAATTATAGAGAGTTCCAACGAATCGATCCTACTACTATTACAGAACTACTAGTTTTACTGCTGCTTTGATTACTTAGGACTTTATCCTGGAAAAAAAAAACCTTTCTTTACAAGCTTCAAGTGGCTTTAATACGTATCCACCATATGCACACATGCATAGCTAATCTTATTATCGTAGGGGCCTATTCTTATGGGGGGAGGATTATGTAGAGAAGCCACATTCATGGCTAAGCGGCGCATTCCCACGACCATAACGTCGGGACGCATTTATTTGCCTTAGGGCACTACCAGAAATAGTACGCTTTACGAGAAGAAAAGAGCTGAGAAGTGATAATGTAATATGCCCTCTGTCCCATACCACTCACCTAACGATCTTGGTATACCTAGCAAATAGGACAGGTATTTTCGCTTATGGGGGTTCGGATGCCCCTTTTCGTTAGCGCAGATGTTTGCTTAAGATGATTAGGAGCACTACTCCTTATCATCATTTGTAAAATAGCAGTAGACTAGGTGACGCGTTTCTCCTTGATGTGTGGATCGATATCCAATATACAATGATCTTTTCCTTATCCCTATGTACGTAAAATGTAGAGCGGGAAAACATGTACATGTAGCCCGAGCTAATGACGCCCATTATGATAATGGTACTTAATACCAGAATTATATCGGTCCGTCTTATCTCGAGAGAGATCTACATGGTAGTAATATTTCGAATCATAATTCGGGATCCCGGATGTTCTGTCGGACACGAAGACTGGTCGAACTATACTAAGACCAAGAATCCCCATCGCGCCAAAGGGGTGCTAACAAAATTTACTACTTCGGGGTTCACTCTACACCGTAACACCGGAGAACTTATTCAGCTCCAAGCCAAGGTAAATGTAGATAGGCCTAAGCTTGTACGAATTATGCTGTCTGGCCCCAGTTGGGAAATCCTAAAGATGGCAAATTTAACCACTATACACTCTCCGTAAGTCGCAATTGTAAGGATGTTAATACGTAAGTACCTAACGAAACCTTTCCTAAAGATAACTTCGCTTCTTATCACCCTAGCTTACTTTTAATTCATGCAGAGGGCTTTATTCATATCAATAAATCATTACAAATACATAGGAATCGTGGCCTAGAACAAGACCACGTTGGTGATCGGCAGGTATTTTTCGAGTAATGTAGCGGAGTGCTATAATCCCCGTCGTACCGGGAAACCTATATCTATAGACCTGGGTATGTGTCGGTGAAGATAAACTACGGGCTGCCGTGGTGGAGTCAAGCGTTGATGAGATAGGGGTAAAAGGGAATTTGAGGTGACGTATACGAAGAGGACTGCTTTAGTTTTACCAAAGTAAAGCTTTGTGGTTTATTTTTGATGTAGAGTGAACTAGTTCTTTGCAAATAGAAGTAGAAGTTTGTGATCATATTTTTCTTATACCACCTTGAGAAACATCTCAAACGTAAAAAGAACTCATAATAAAGATATAGGTACCTATACTCATGATATTCATCTGATTAAATCAAGATTGTCTCATCAGCCATTCGGAGACTAAATTGCTGATCGTTAGGCTCGATGTATGTATGTAGCTGATGGTGGTATTCTAGCGAAGCTAAGAGAGCATTCACTCACCGGGTCTTCGTCACTGGACTTAAACAACTCAGACACGTCACCTAGAAGATCCCGACTATCTCAATAGGTATTTGTCCGTCAGGCATTTATATTCAAATATCTTCCGGGTTTTCCTGTTTCCGAGCTGCAATATAAAGGTAAGTTAGGTTAGGTACCTACCTAGTTAAATTAAATAGTCACAACTCTGAGATACCTGTATGCATTATTAATAGATTTCGACGAGTCCATAATATATCGTACTCCATTTGACCCCTTTTGATAGGTAGGTATATAGTATAGCCCTCATAGAATCCCGTTAATTTTGTCACTTCGACCTAATACTTGGCTTCTTCTCAGACTGCTATCTCATATGTACCTCTTATGAGCCATTGTATGAAGTGAATTTAATATCGTTAGTCACATTGAGTGGTTTTTATCTCTAGTAATCGATGAGCGATGCAATTATACCAATCTAAGAGACATAGGCAATTTTCTCTACGTTATTTGCTTGAAGGTGCACGTAGATATTGCCTTTCTACTAGACCTTCTGCCTTGAGTAGCTGACAGCAGAGGCTACTACTAGGAGTAATAGTATGTGAAGACTTTGATTTTTTAAAGGCTAATGTAGTAATATAAAATAACATTATGTGCCCTTTACTGGGAAACTCTTTGAATGTTACTACGACTTGGTTTTAGATATTAGACCTATAAGCGCCTGTTTATCAGGCTTCCCGCTTGGGGCTATTGGGACCGAATCTATTGCTACAAAGGTCACCGGAACCGCGGCGGGACTGACTTTCTCCTTGACCAACTCCCGAAGAGAACTAAGATCAGAGACACGACCCTTAACCATTTTAATAAATGCGACAGCGGCCTCGCCCGTGTTATTGTCCGGAATACTTACGACATACGCGGCGTCTACATCTGGGTGAGATAAAAGCGCGTGCTCGATCGCGCCGACGTAGTATACATCGGCGTTAATGATAACAATTTCCCGCGCCCGTCCTGTTAGATATAAAAAGCCCCGGCTGTCAAGTAAGCCCAAATCTCGCGTCCATATCCAGCCACTAGAGTCGAGGACGGATAACGACTCTTCGTTCGTATAGCCATTGAATGCGCCGAGACTGCGTACCCACACATGTCCGACCGTATTAAGGGGGAGCGAAGCCCCGATATCATCCCGTATTTGAATCTGAACACCTGTAAAGGGTCGACCGACGGCATTTATGGCATCAGGGTACATTGCGATGTCAGCCGCGGAGAGTAGACACACTAATCCCGTCTCCGACATACCATAACCGTTAAATACAACGTCCCCAAGAGTTTGTATCGCAGCACGTAGCTTCTGCGCTGGCAGCGGTGAACCAGAAACAACTACGGAGCGGAGATAGCTTAAATCGAAATTTGACGCGTCCGAATTAATAAGTTCAAGAACGTGGTATAGCCGCGGTACGGTGAAAAGCACAGCGGAAATTCGAAGATCACACAGGACTTGAGGGAACCTGAGAAGCGGCAAAGGCGTGGTAGGTATCACTGCCGTCCCGCCACTGGTGAGGCATAGGCCGAGGTGCTCGAACATGACGGTGCTAGCGAGCGTGCCGAATAGAAGAAAACGGCCATATCTCGAGGCCATCAGTTCCGTATCTGAGTCCCAGGCGGAGCGTTGCCACGCCCAGGACGCGGTCAGCGCTGCGTAAGTGCACTCGACACCCTTCGGTCCACCTGTAGTCCCGCTGGTAAATAGGACCAGAGCAGTGTCTTCTAGACATCCCTGTGGTGTTAGTGTACTGGTATCCCCTAGTAAGTTTTCCAGTTTGACCACGGCTGGTTTTACCGGCGGCGAAGACTCGATCTCGGCACAAGTGTATTCGTCAACTATTAGGAGTTTCGCATCGGCAACAATGACGGGTAGTTGTATCTTATCGATCCCGGGTTTTAGACTGATAACCCGGAGACCTAAGACGTGTGCTGCTATTTGTACAGCGAAGCCATTTGGTGTAACGCCTGTGTATATTGCGATACTATTGCTAGGACTAAGGCTGGCTTCAGCAGCACGTAGCCCACTAACATAACGAGCAACGAGACCTAGGATTTCGCCTCGCCCGAACACGCGCGAGCCATACTCAAAAGCTGGCACGTCTGGTGCGTCCCCAAAAGCCTTTAGCAAGGAGTATGGGAAGGGAAATGTCATGATGCCTACCGGGTCACAGCGTGGTTCTAACTACAAAAGGAGGTAGACTTGTTGGTAGGTGGATAAGGTTGTAGATAGGGTCGTAACGCACCGACAGCGGCAGTCATGTCTTACTTACATAGGAGATTCCGTCACCTACCTAGGCGAACTGCAGAACAGGGAGCCATGGTCTAGATTTACTAGTGTGTATATAGTTGTTGAGATTCAAAGGAATAACGTGGCGTTTGTAAGCACTTACTTAACTTGCTCTAGGTTGGGACTGATGATTCATACTTTGGTTCTCTTATGACAACAGGTTTTCTAGTTGCAGTCTCCTGACGCTGATCGAAATAAGTAGTTTTGAAGACTGACGTAGAGGTTATGTTTCGCTTTAACTATCTAGAATTCTCCGATGTCCTCTAGGCTATCCCGTCCTTTGAAGTATATAGATCATGTTGACATTTCATGTCCTCATCTGATTAGCAATGGGCAGACCCCGCTTTCCTTAAGCGCTTCCTTGGAGGGTGAGCTCATGCATGCATTCATTCACATAGTCTTGCATATCCTAGCCAACATTACGGTTTGGGAAATATCGTGTAAACTAGCCCAGGAATTAACAGTCTCTGGACGTATGTGGAACGGAATGATAGGTCCCGGTATTTATCAATAAATAGAATCTTGATTAAAGTAATCGAGACCGATGTAAGAGCTTTAATGAGATTGAGGTTGATAATGAGCTGGGGAGGATTTCAAACAGTTTGTAATCCGCACCTAAAGAGGCAGCTCATATAGTTGCACCGAACCGAACCAAAGTATCTTCTCCTGCATATGAGGATTGGCTAGAAGAGGGTTTGAGCAGGGAATGACTACATATTTACGGGCGACTAATGCATAACAGCGTGATATCAGGCGTAGCATAATCCGGGGATTAACAGAGGAGCGGAGTCTGTCTCACTCATTGGCTAATCTCCTATCGAGTGCCCTGTTATAGTCTATCTAGGGAAGACGAGCAAGATGAAATACTCCGCATCCCATGTAAGGTATGTATATAGAGAATGTGACTCTAGCATCATGGGGGACGGAGTATAGGTTCTAAGGGCTTAACTCGAGCCTAGGCCGCTTATATCAAAAAGTCCTAGGACCTGAGCCTTTATATTAAGCTAGACTAAACATACCCCGAGGGGAAACCTCAGGTTAAGTGTCTTTGATCTTCTTAACATGCCGCCCCTTAATACTAGCACCATGCGCGTGGCAGTTATTGGTGCCGGCCCTTCGGGTCTGGTAACGCTCAAATATCTCAAGACGGCTCACCACTTCTTCCCTGGCAAGCCCGTCGAGGCTGTGCTGTTTGAATCCGAGTCTGTAGTTGGCGGGACCTTCGCGCAGCGTGCATACGAGGACGCCGAGCTGGTCTCATCTAAATTTCTCACATCGTTCTCCGACTTCAGGGTTCACGAGAATGACCCCGATTTCCTCTCCGCCGAGAAGTTCGTACAATATCTTAACGACTACTGTGACAACTTCAATCTCTGGCCCGATATTAATCTTTCAACTAAGGTGGTGGCTATCAAGAGGCGCCTCGGAGGTGGCCACATCGTTTACTACCGGAAGGCAAATGATGTTGATGCAGAAGTTTTGACGTACGAATGCGATGCCATTGCTGTCTGTACCGGCCTGCATGTGGTTCCTAATATCCCAAACCTTCCCGGTATCGAGAATATCCCGGTTGTCAAGCACTCGTCCGAGTTTAAGAAGCGTGAAGAGTTTGGTCGCGATAAGACTGTCGTCATCCTTGGTTCCGGTGAGACTGGCATTGATATTGCCCACCTTGCCGTGACCTCACCGACGAAGCGCGTGGTCCTCACTCACAGAGACGGTTTCCTCGGAGCACCCAAGGTTATTCCTAACCCTGTGTGGTTCCCTATTCTTGGGCGTAAGGCCGATCCTAACCGTAGAGAGCTTCCTGTCGACGTCAGCTGGCAGGCACCTCTCTTCGACTCGATGTACTTACACCCCCTGATTCGAGATACCCTCTTCACGTGGAATGTTTACGATTGGGGTGTCAAGGCAACTAACTGGCTTGTATCTGGCACGATAGCCGGTATTGACCAATGGGTCGGAGGCATCTCTAAGGAGCGATACCACGTCTCTAAGCTCTTCTTCAACAAGGGTGCGCCTAAGGCACTGCCGTATATTAGCGCTCCTTATCGCCCGACTAACCCAGGTATTATCGAGCGGATCCGCCGTTCTATTCTCCAGGCGCCCGTTGACAAGGTCGAAGGAGACCGCACAATCGAGCTAGCACCGTGGCCGACGCATGTTGATGCCTCTGGAACGATCTACTTTAAGAATAACAGACGCCCCGAGTACTCCAGGATGCAAGATATCGGACCTACCAAACCTGATGTCTTAGTTTTCGCTACCGGCTACCGTCAAGAGTTTCCATTTTTCCAAAACCAGGGCCGAGATAGCTACCCGGTACCTAGCAGCGCGGATGTCCGATCGATCTGGAGCCGCGCGGACCCGAGCGTCGGGTTCATCGGGTTCGTACGTCCTGGATATGGTGCTATCCCCCCGCTCGCCGAGCTACAGGCTCAACTGTGGCTGCTGAACCTCATGATACCTGAGCGCACGGCTAATCTGCGTGATGACGATGATCATCACTTCCGCCTTAGATCCAACCAGAATTCACGTATCAACTATGGTGTCGATCATGAAACTTATGCCTATCAGCTAGCGCTCGATATAGGTTCCGCCCCGGCCTTCTGGGATGCCGTACGGGCTGGATGGTCTGCATCTAGGTACCAGTCTAATCTATGGTATCGTATTCCGATCATCTGGGCAGCGGGTGCTCAGCTCAACCCCAAGTTTCGCCTCAAGGGCCCGTACTCCTGGGACGGTGCTACTCAAGTCCTTGGTAACGAACTCTGGCAAACAATCTCTCGCCGCCATGGAATGTTTGGTAAGTTCTCATTATATTTTTATCTATTCGTTCGATAACCTATACTAACGTAGAGTTACGTAGGAAACTTTTTCCTAGCCGTCGTCCCAATCACCCTCCTGGGTGTATTCAGCCTGTTCTTGTACCTCGTTGGGCTTATTTTGCTGCTGGTGAAGGTGGTAACTTGGCCTATTACTGCACCCTTCCGTCACGGCAGACGTGGTGTTATTAGGCTTGAAGAGGGTCGCAAGTATACCAAGATAGAATCTTGAAGAACGGACTGGTAATCTTATTTGCTATACTATTCAGATATTGGTGTATTTTCGATTTGAACTGTGAGGCACACTAGATCAAGTAAATATATATCCAAGGTGAAATTTACTGCACGCATGTTTAATGAAGGATTTACAATTTGATTTAAATACTCTTAAAGGGCGGCGGAGAATGGAATAACTAGGTAAATATATACCGCTAGTTTTATATTCACATGAAGATTTGCTTTTCTATACTGGCTAATGTTAACCATAATAGGTGATAAGGTTATGATTTATACTTAATGCCAATATATACAATAAAGTAGATGACATTCATTAGAAATACGTCCTTTACGGCAAGATCCAAGTGGTAACACTATTCGCTAGGATATTACCGCTCCAAGTCTGACCGCTAGTGGTATTCAAGGTAACATAGACATCGTTGTTGAACGTGTTCTCGATTACAACAGTACGCGTACCGTCTGGGTTCTTCGATGCGACTGACTGCACGCCTGAGTACCCGTCGTAACTATAGCTACCAGATCCGCTTAGGATAGTAGCGCCCTTAGGGATGAACTTGGAGTACTGCGCCAACATATAATAATCGACGGTGAACTCGTACGTGCCTGCGTTCTGGTCTACAACGAACAGACCGCGACACGTCCCACAACCTCCTTGGATATATGGACCGAAGGTGCCGTCAGCCGCCTCAGTCCAAGTACCCAGAGTCCACATCAACGAACCCTCGGCCCAGTTCTGTAGCGGCCCAACCGTGTTCTTAGAAGATTGATACCACGAAGTCTGCGGAGAAGTCCAACATTCCGTCATATATTGGGATTTGTTAGGGTTTGCGTTGTGAAAATCGCTAAGAACGGTCCAGTCTAGATCACCCGCGTAGCAGTGCCACGCGGCTGCTTGAACGTATTCGCCGGCTACGTCGATCACGGTCTGCGGGTAACTAGGCATGTTCGTATTGTGATCGTATGCCCAGATCTGCGTGTTCAAGTTGGCTGCCCGTAGAGCTGGCCCGATGTAGTCATGCGTTACTTTAGCAGCTTCGTCGGCAGTTTGATACATTGTTACGTGACCGCCTCCTTGATTATTCAAAGGCTCATTCTGGATGGTAATGGCGTCAATCGTGGCGCCTAGCCCTGCGTATGCTTGAAGATATTTCACAAAATACTGAGCATATTGGCTATAGTATTGCGAATCAAGCCAGTTGTTGTCGGCATTCCCGGTGAGAACCTATATAAGACTGTGAGCGAAAATTGATTTGCTATCTGGGCCTACGAGATCCTTACCCTATTCAGTTTCATCCAGCCCGGAGCACTCCACGGGCTTCCGAAGATAGTAGCGTCGGAGCGGATACCTTTTATCTCGCTCAGCAATTTCGCCATTGCCGCTCCTCTATCTCCCAGGTTGAAGCTACCAAGGTCCGAATCCGCATTACCGTTATTATCATCGTACGTGTATGCGGGCGGTCCTGATAAGTCCGATGCAGCAATAGTATGACGCAACAAGCTGAAGCTGGCTCCGTCTGATGTAAATAACTCTCTTAGAAGCTGAGATCGCTTATCATTGGAGAGTGCGTCGATGACGGTGACAGTTGCGTCTGTTATAGAGCCTCCAAAACCATTGATCTTCTGCTTATACCCAGATTCCGTATCATCGATGCTCAAATCCCATGTTGATGTACCCCCGGGGTTACCCTTACCAGACACGGGAGCATCAACGGCGCTTAACTTGTATTTGAGGTCCGAAGAGGAAGCATATGCTTGAGGTGATGCCTGGCCGGCCCTGATAGATATATGTGAAGAAGAGGCGAGCACCTGCCCAGAGAGAAGAGTAAGGATCCCAAACAACATGATGTCGGCCTAAGAAATAGTTATCCCTATCAAATAGTCTCTAACCACTCCCATACTCGATGAGAAGAGCATGGGAATGAGAATCTTAAGTAGATCATTCACCATGTCCGGTCTTTCTTTGCGAATCGAAACAATGAGACATCATTCCTGCGATGTAACCTGAAGGATAACTAGGCTGCTCCCCCGGCGTCCCCATGTGGAGTGAGAAACATCCCGTCCAAGCTTTTATTGGATTATGCACCATTAAAGGCGTCAGGGGTCCTAATCCAGATCTAGTAGGTGGATATCAGGACTCTAAAATATGGTGAATGATTCGTCCATCTAGGCGTCGAACAAATAGAGAATGAGATGTTATTTCTATAAGTGGAATTGTAACTGAAAGATATCGTTTCTATAGCAAGACCAAAGTATATAGAGGCGCTTTATTAGCATTGCCCCTTTCTACTAACCTAGGTAACTCTAGGTACGTAGCTTAAACGTTAGGTGCGTCAAATAAAAAATGTACTACGAGATTAGACGATGCGGCTGAGAGTAACTGACCAATGGTTCAATAATATTTAACCACTAAAAATAGATATAGTCGCATTTTTGAACTGGGGATACCCATTACAAAGTTGGCTTCCTAAGACGCTAGATCGGGGGGATTCTCAACAAGTGATAGGCATTTACTATTCAGCATATGTTTATCTGTATTATGATCCTCTAAGATCGAGCGGTGAGAGAATCATTTTAGAGGTAGCCATAAAGTTCTCAACCAGTCCTGGTTGTCATAGCGTGCAGACGATGCCACTCTACAACCACGTAGCATGCTGTCCGGGCCGACTGTTAATGGGACATTGTAGGTAATGTCATGGTTAGTTACCTTTTGATCTCCACGACCTAAATCGTGTCATGCGGTCGCACCGAATATAATGCTAAGGGTCTTGTTCTTATGGCCGGTGAAGAATGTGCTTACAACGCTGATTTGTCGGTTCGTATATCAAAGTGTGCTTCCAGCTCGCTTAATCATTTGAGGGGCAATTTTATTCAACATATCTTGTCAAAGCTACTGCCTTAGTTAGAATCACACTTATTTAGGAGAATTTCCCTGTCGAGAGTGGAAATTGGAGAGTTTTAGGCTATAATTTTAGAAACAAGAGTCGCAAGATATATGCGAGTCCTATAAATATTGATAAACTAAATAAACTAAGTCACTTCAGGGCAAAGAGAACGAATTAGGTAAATAGTAGCACCGTTTTGAATATGGTTGGTTAACAATTCGTCATTTTGCTTTCCAGGTTAAAGAAAGGAGAGTGATCTTAATTTGAATTACTTATATGTATTAACTGTCTCGAGTCCTACTCCCGTATATACAGTTTTCCTTGTCTAGATTACTTTAGTGGACTCTCTACTCCGGGTTGAAAGAAAATGAAACCTCTAATCTTATATTTCAAGTATTTTACTGTATAGCTACGTCTTATCTACCCACATATGATATATTTATGACGTTTGTTCTACCTATGAATGTACCTATCGTATAATTTAGACGGCTACCTTGAATAATCTAATCGTCATTGTATGTTATTTCTTTGTCTAGGTACATAGCTAACTAAGAATTGTTAATTATGAATTCTAATTAACTAGGAGAATATCTGAACCCTTGTATTCGGATAAGTATTGTACTTTGAGACTTAACAAATTCCTACACTGTCTTAGAATTATTATAGATTCATGCCAGATAAGACGTAATAGGATTAAGAGGCACCTGCAGCTCGATATATTTCATCAAAAACAAATAGAAACACGTGGTTAGCTAAAGGCCGGTTCGATATTTCAGAGTGACTTCAGGAATGTAGAAGCGGCAACGATGTATCGTTTCTTGATTTTATGAATATCTTCATATGGCTAGACGGACATATTCCTAAATATAGCTGCCTATTAGCACTGTTGCTATCTTGCTCTTATAACAAATCTAAGCATTTTCACACTGAGTTAAACCTCGTGCCTTCTGCTGTCTTTGAAATATGATATTATGTACCGATTAGTAGTATATGTGCAGATTGAACCTATATTAAATAGGCACCAAAGGTATATAAGTGAGCATTCATGTCTCATTCCGTCATCACTCGTTAATACTACCTGCTAGTAGCTTTAAAATTTATCCTTCCTCTTCCACTCATTACTTAGGGATTATTCTTCCTTATTAGGATCTTCCCCTGCCTCATCTTCGTCCTCGAGCCCCCAGTCTGTAAACTCCGTACCACGAATCCAACTGAGCCCTTTTCGCACTCGGCTCTCGCGGATGGCCCGCGCATCCCTTTCGTACACGGCGCCCGTGATAGCAAGCGCCAACACGAATACCCACACGTCCCCTCCCTTCATGGCGCGCCACCAGCGACGCTTGACGCCCACCTTCCACAACGAATCCACGCTCGCTCGCGCGCTGTATAGGAACACGCCCCGGCCCTCCTTTCGTTCTACCCAAGCCCAGAGACCTGCGAGGAATCCGCCCAAGAAAAACCGCTGGGTCGGCAGGAACGTGCGCGGGAACCAAGCTTGGAAGAAGCAGATGCTAGCCCATGCCGTGGAGATGGCGCCTGTCGCAAATGTCGAAACACGCAGCACCCTCGATAACAGGCGGTTTAGGAGGTATAGCGGCGAGTTGTACAAAAGTTTGTAGCGTGGCAGCATGAGTACGGAGTAGAAGAGAAGGAAGAAACGGCCCATGCGCGGAAACGAGCGCACCCAGAAGGCGAGATAAGTGCGGAGACACGAAGGATCGGAAGGGTGCAGGGTGGCGCAGCTGAGAGAGGTGATGAGAGGATGAGCTCGTGCTGTTAGAGGAGCAACCGCGGTTAGCGATGAAGGCAGGGTTGGTTGGTCAGGGAATAAGGTCGGCGAGACGAACGGCCTAAAAAATTATTAGCATATTTCATTATTGGATAAGGGTAAAGCTTTAGCATACGGCCAATTAAGCTTAGCCATCCGGGCTAGGTTGTCAGTAATCTCCCAAGCATCTGGCCATCTGATGCCAACAGGGAGATTCTCCGGCGCGTTATGGAGATAGGTGGAGGTATTCTTCCAAATGAAGTCGATGAGACCGATCGGAGAAGACTCTCGGTCGAAGACGACGGCGTGTAAGAGCTGTCCGAAAGCAAAGGGCTGGAGCATCCAGCTTCCCCACCACCACGGCCGCTCTCGTTTGACGACTCCTTTCCCACCAGCTCGAGTCTTCCAGCCCCATATCATACCCTGATCCTCGCACAGATTCCAGCCAAATTCGAGAGCGCGGAAAATGGCTGCGATGGCCACTGTCACTCGTAACTGCTGCGAAGGATATATGCCCAGGGCTATTCCGGCTAGACTGGCCCCAACTGCTGGTGCATATGGCGATGTCAACATCTGGTAGGTCTTCGGATTACGATTACGGAATGGTGCTGCTGATGCGTCTAGTAGATGAGCCCGCAATCGACTTAGGAAGCGGAATAAGAGGCGGTATAGAAGCAATATGGTAGATAGAGACAGTGACAGTCGGAGGCCGGAAGACTTATAGAATGGCTGCTTCTTTGGCGTAGCAGATCTAAACATAGGTTAGCATTGAATACTTTCCGGTTCTAAGAGTCATTTTAAGGGCATACCCTTTCTGTCCTTTTACCCTTGCTAATATAATCTCGTAGGTTCTCATCCCTAATCCGGTTGCGACGAAGACACGTAAAACATCTCTGATGGTACGCGCATTATACGTATCTCCCCTGCCGATGCCTCTGTTTGCAGCATTCTCTTTTCCTTTACCTCTACCCGCATCACGATCTGATACGGATCCCCCCCTACCGCCATCCATATACCTCTCGACAGCATTCACACTCGGAATTCTCTTCCTCAAGAGACGCGACCGCGATAGAACATATTTGTGAAGTGTCTCGTACTCGCGAGCCGAGATGGTATATCTTAATGCATTGCGAAGAACGGGATCAACTGCTGATCTAGGCTTTGGTTTCGAATTTGCTCTAGGTCTCGAGATAACATCAGGATTGCTCGGAATCTCGAGAGGAGAGAGGATAGGAAGCCTAGAAGGACCGGCTTCGGATGTCATGGTGCTCGGATACCCGTGGGTAGTATTATCGGGATATTGGTGCCCAACGAGAGTTTGGGTTGTAGAATCGATTAATTATTAAGTTGCAAAAGATTGGCTACTCGATGTTCGTGTTTATTTGCAGAATATGCAGAATCTGCAGAAGACGTGCAGGTAATTTTTCTTCAGCTCAACGCGTGAGTCGCCGAACCATTTCAATCTAGGTGCTGCAATACGACGTCGTGCCCGCTAAGGCCTGACCTCACGATAAGACCAAGAGAATTATCAGTGGATAATAACCCCGTTGAAGAAATAGTAGTGGTAGGGCATGCCACAAGTCGAACGATACGAACAAACATTGATAGATAGACGTCTTGTGATTTGGTGAAGGTGTTAGGTAGATCTTAGGTAGATTATGACAATGAAAAGTTGGAGAGGAAAATAATTACAAAAAGGTATGAGGTACCTAAGAAGTATGTATGCAGCTACGCAGGTATGTATTGCCCTCGTCTGGCATGAATGGAAAGCTCAAGGGAATAAGATTAAGATTAATTGAGGTACATACCTAATGTAAGATTAGGTACCTACCTCGGTTCAGTTAGCATGTGAGCTGTCTTGGCTATTGTGGGGTAGATAGCTAGCCATTTCGGGGTATTCATGCCACTAGTGGGGGATTATTGGTGAAAGAGATGGAGGTACTTATGTAGTGTAACGCGATCATCACCATCATCGTCATCATCTTCATCATCATCATCATGGTCGTCGATGATGCATAAAATATAAAGTATAGAATATGGAATATAAAATATAAAAATAAAATAAATGTAAATTAGTTCACCTTACTAAAACGAAACGACCATATTTTTTTCATTAAATATCTTTTGCATTGAATATGAAATAACTAACAGCATATTATAGGAAGTATGTAGGTACTCATATTGTTGTACCTCTATGTCTAAGATATGACTGAGATCTCTAAGACACCGTATTTCATGCGTACCCGTAACACCAACTAGCAATATTTTCAATTTCGTCTCACGACAGATAGTTATACAAATATATGGCGCCTATGATTGGTAATGTGAGTTACGGAAGCCCGACTTGTTATGCCTAATACTTTAAATAATTCATATAATCCCTTGATATATACACTTGATACATATTAACCTGCTGGACATATTATATACCATGTCTACTTTTATCTAAGCCCATAAAGTCTCCTGTTAGAAAACTTAGCTCTGATACAGGTATACTTAAGCTCTCCTGGGTTCCTAAGTTCCTTAGGATACACCCTTGGTCTTATCGCTACTATCACTTGGTTCGAGCACGGCTTCTACGCCCTCAACCTTCCCCTCTAGTCCTTCTACGTCCACATGCGGTCCTGTATAGTTCTTGCGCCCATCGAATATCCAGGTGATTCCGGCGATCAACAATATCACACCAAACGCCACGATACAGTAGTTCATGTTTTCGCTCGTGACGGGTATCTCGGGCGGGAAGACGAATAGTACCGTCGTCAGGATCGTCCAGGCTATGCCGATCTGTTTAATTTACCCATTCGTGTTAGTTTGCATAATTGTCATAATAGAATAGGTTATGTGAAGAACATAGTGCCGTAAAAAGAAAGACTCACCAGATTAAAAATCCAGCCCAGGACTCCCGGTAGCTTGAATGCTCGCTTTTCCGGTAGCATTCTACGCCCGCGAAGGACATTAATAGACGGTGGGATGGCATACGTAACGCCGAGAGCGACAACAGAGGCAGATGTAATAGCGTTGAACGTGCTACTAGACCCGAGGAAGATACAACCAAACACCACCACCCAAGCAGCGGTCCACAGTAGCGCGTTAAGCGGAACATCTAGGCGTGGATGCACTTGTGCAAAGATTCTGCTAAACGGGAGTCCGCGATCTCTCGCGAACGCATATGACATGCGGCTGCTTGTCGTCATCAGCGTTGTGGTTGTGAACAACATGCACACGAGCGGGAACATGAGTAGGCATACGCTGCCTGCTGGGCTGCGTGTCGCGTCCATGAATATCTGAAGCAACGGTCCTGCGCTTGACTCGATCACCGCGTCAATATCATTTACGCAGAAAAGCAGACAACTCAAGAATATGAAGCCGGTTATCACTTAAACCCTAGATGTTAGTTGGGACTTCTCTAAATAGGGGTTAGGTACGTGATGTGATGTTACGTACTTCCAATGCCAATACAAGCCAGCATGATGCGTGGGCCTCTTACTTGCGGGTGCGGGATTTCTTCGATCATATGAGCCACGGCATCAAAGCCTGTAAGTGCGAAGGCACCCTGCAGCAACCCCAACATCCAGGCCATACCGTCGGGCCAACCGACCTCGTTGATGAAGTCGCCATAAACGAATTTGCCGCTCTGGTATTCGGGAGATGCGCAAGCTAGGATCGTGATACTAATAACCACGAAACCTGCCAAGCTCCAGAAGAAGGCGGCCTTGGTGAATAACGGTAGCAGACGCGTTGAGAAGGCATTGATAAAAAGCGCGATCAGCGTGAAGGCGATGTAAATCAGGAATTGATGCCATGACTCAGTCTGGTAGTTTGGATGCAGCAGCGAAATGATATTTATTATAAACGTACTGCCGAGCAAGCCACCCGTAGCTGTCAGTGCTACCCAGCCGCTGACGTTGATCCAACCCGTCGCATAACTAATGCTGCGACTCCAGTTCTTCCACGCAATAATGGCGGCCCAGTGATATTGCCCTCCAGCAGTGGGCCACGCGGAGAGGAATTCGGCGAGGGAGGCGGCAAGGCACAAGTTACATACGCCGGCAACGAGAAGGCCCCAAATGACAGCGCTGGGGCCACCGGAAGGTAAGGCGAGGGTAATAGAGGCAGCGAGGGCGGTCCAGGTGTTAAGGATAGCAAAAGCTAGTCCCAACATTGAGATCATAGAGAAGTTACGCTTGAGTTCCTGTTTGTGTCCTAAGTGCGCCAGCGCAGCAGCATCATCTTGAATGATAATGCTGTGATTTGCGCTGCTGCGTCGCCGAGGTTGCTGTTGTTTAATTTCGTCCATTGTCATTGATGTCGTAATACCATTCGTACCATTTGTACCATTCGTATCGCTTCTTATTTTCTCTCTTATTCTTTTTTCTACTCGATTAACCGAGACAAATTATAAATAAGATCATTCGAGTCAGCTACTTCGTGTATTGCCGAAAGTAACCGTACGGAGGCGTCGTATAAGTGTCGTATAAGTGTCTAAGTCTCAAAGACTCGAGTTATGACCGTACTATAAGCGGTACTATAAGCAGCATTTGCCACTATACATATTACTCGATCTGATGAAAAGAAGAAGAAGAGGAAGAGCAAAAGTGAAAATCGAAAAAGAGCATAGTTAAAGGGAATAAAAAGGAATAAGATGTTAGTTAGTAGATGACTGATAATCATAATCTAGTTTTCCTACCCCTGCGTTAGTTCGTAGTCTTCAGTTCCCTCTTATCGGCATCCCTACTCAATCCTATTACATTATTCTCTTTGTCTACTCGTTTGTCAACGTTGTGGGTCTTTGTAGGATATATTTACTAGATGTGGTCAAGTTTCGGTACAATAGCACACGGATAGAAAAGCTTGAACCTTGGGAGCCTCTACTTTTACAAGAACGATAGCTTAACCTGCAGATCTAAGCAGGGGTTGATTTTCCACCTCGTTATCTTGTATTGGTTGAAGGATCCCTCGTCCGTTAAAATGCGACGTCATGATCTAGACTAAAACTTTTAGGGTCTTTTGAGGTCCTCGAATTTCTTACCATAGTACATAGATTTCCCCGCGCCGCGCCGGGCGAGAGGACAGGGGGGAGGGGAACGCGCTAAGATGTATGGAGAGACCGATGGAAAAATACGCTATGCTCTATGCGCTATTGTATCGACTTATTCTAATTCTAATAGTTATGTGACTATGAGGTAACTCTTAGTATTATATGACCAATTGTTGACTAAATTACGAACCTATAATGAAACTAGTAAGTTATCCTCTTAATTCGCATACTTAAGACACCACATCCACTGTTTTTTAGTATCGATAGGTTAGAGGTAGTTATCAAAAATTTTGTTAGTTAAAGATAAAATGGGTTTACGTTATTAGATCAGCTAATTATATTTATTATAGAGGTATATCACAAGACTTTTTTTTTTTTTTTCTCTATAGATGTTAACGAGTCACGTTGAATTATACATACCCCTTTAAAGATTACTAGGAGGGGTGATGTCCTAATGTATAAAGAAACGTACGAGTTGAAACTCGAGTAGTAACCTTAGGTACCTCTACATTAGGCACTCTCCAAGATATCGTTGTTTGATTTATTAGGTACTTGCAATGTATCATACTTCTAGGTTTCTATGTAACTAATACGAGTGATATTCGTTGAATTTAACAAAGCATTGTAGCATAGACCAACACAAATGCTAGAGGCTATCGGATGTTCATGGTTTGTTATTCCACTATTAACACTATAGGTCTCGAATATCATCGTATGAGTAAAAAAACACTTTTGGTTGATCTAAGGCTATCTGATGATCCTATCAAGATACGACCCGGCAACAGTACCGTTCGTCAATCCCCTCCAGCCTATCCTTAATCTGCGCTTGGCTGCGCCGTAACTCTCAACACTGTTCATCGTAATCGTGTACCCTAAGTAAAAGGTCTATGAAACCTACTAAAACAATTCCCTCGGGATAGACAAATGTGAATCCACTCGCAATCCGCAACCCGCAATCCGCAATCCGCAATCCGCCAAACTCCGGGGCTTATGACACCATGCTCGAACAATACTGCAGAAACATCCATCTGCAAGGGGGGAATGGGGTATTATGTGAAAAATGCCGATTTTTGCTCAACCCTATCTTTGCCGTCCTTAATCCTGTAATGTCTAACAACTTTCGCAACCCTGTCATCCGGTTACCCGCACCCGCATGGCGTTCGTGACCAGCCCAACTGGGCGAAAACATCCCTTTTTTGCAATGAAACCTCGATATGCCGTTGAACCAAGGTGACCGGAGTCGTCAGGTATGCATGCAGATGCAGTACCAAATCCCTTAGTCCGTCCTTGATTTAAGTATGTCCATGAAGAAAGAGGTGAAAATCATACACCATTAAACACCAACCGCAATGCCAACGAAAGACCAAACCGAAACAGTTAATACTAGAAAGTTGTTTTGTTATGTAACGTAGGAAAAGCTTCATCTGTCGCGTACCAACCAAGGCTATCGTTTACACGTGGGCTCGTCGCATAGTATGCCAATTGGTCAGCTAAACCATGGAATCAGGGACACTATACGATTGGGATGGCAACTGCTGCTGCGGCGCCCCTAAGACGGCAGAGAACTGGGGGACCCATCTACGTAAGATCCGGGGGACTTCGGCGCCTCTTGGTTGCACGAATTCTTCTTGCCAATTTAGGACGTCCCAAGGTTCAACAATAGCGTAGCGTCGCTGTGCTGATAGCCGTTGCTGGATTCCCTGGGAATTGGGAATAACTCCCGCACGGACTGCCTCAACTGCACGCATGCGTCTTGCCTCTCTCTCGGCTACGACGTCGGCAACCGCGTGGTACCGGTCTTGGGCCGTGTTCCAGCCTGAGGCACCATCGCTCTCCGAGGTGAGCACAACGCGGAGCTCTTGAAAGGGTAAATTCAACAAAACACGTGAGAGGACCGGAGAGCATTTGGCAGGGCCACGCGAAAGGGGAGCGCCATCCTCAGGTAGAGCGGCCGGTAGATCGCCAAACTTAATATTGGATAGACGATTGGGCTTCGTGGTGCTACGCATATTCGTGCCTCTAGCAATGGTAGGTGCCATATTGCCCGTAGGCGAAATTGCGGCAACAGGCGTGGCCGGGATACGGGCTAGCTTCGGTGGGTCGACTACTGAGTGGTCAAGTTCAAAGTTCGGCGGGAACGCATTGACAAGAAAGTTCATCGTAGCCTGCAAGAGGAATCTAACATCTGGGCTGTATCCAAAATCGAGTTCGACGTCTTGGTCGTTGTCATAGTTGACATGCCGCTGAATAGTGCCCTCGAAGACGAAGCCTAGCGCCTCTTCTACAGTCTCCCAAGTGATAAAATCGGCAGCCATGTGCAAACCGCACAGGAAGACATCGGGCATGTGCAGAAGATGTCCAGCGGCGGCGTAGCCTAAGTAGAACTTAAACCGATCGACCTTACCGTCGGCAAAGTGTAGGCCACTGGCCGCGTCGGCCACCATGGCAGGGTTAAGCAACGGGAAGAGATACAGCCGCCTTACGGCACTCCACCACGCATCTGAACGTAGATATGGGTCGTCCGACTCGACTGTGATAGTGTGAGAACCTAAATCTGTAGCACGAGCAGCCATGATGTGATGCTTGAGCGCTGGGCTACGAGCTAGGATGAGCTTATGGCCGGTGATCTTGACAGGGTGATGTAGACATTTGGTGGACACCAGCTCCAAAATACAATCGGTAAGTTCGCCGCTGTCGAATTGATCTTGGAAGTACATGATGCTCTCTCTCAATCCGATATCAAAGAACCTAGGATCACGGCCGAAAGGCTCAAGGGGCATGAATGGCGGAAAGTGCGGAGCCGGATGCGGGTGACCGACGGGATGCTCATGATGCGTATGATTACCATACGGAATGCCGTTCGGGGGAGGATAGGGGTGGATAGCTCCGTTTTCGACACCGTTCGGTTCACCCGAGGCATGAGAGCCGTGAAGGCTATGGGGAGTCGATATACCGAAGCGGCCAGCAGTAGGTGAGAAAGGATGATCAAACGGGGGATGCGGCATGGGAGCCGGTCCCTGTCCGTACGTGTCAATGCCGGACACGGGTACTATGTCAGGTCGAAACTGAGTATTGATCGGACCGGGAAAGCCGTTACTTCCAGAGGGAGCGTGTTGATGACCATTTGGCTGCGAGCGAATATGGTTCTCGCTATCAACAGGCACGGGCTGAGGTGGAAGCGGAGGCGGCATAAAACCGCCGGGGGGAGGCGCCGGTGACGGAGTATGAGAACCGGCAAACCCTCCAAATACGACACCTCCGCCATTACTCATATGGGGATGGTGCTGGTAGCGGCGTATGTGGGGCTGTCCGCGGAGGATCGTAGGATCGGGATGCTGGTCGGTAGACAGCTGATGTTGAAGCATATGATGGAAAGCCAGTTGCTGGTCGGGCGAGTTTGCAGATCGGGGCTGCGAGACATGTCGAGGTGCATCGTGGGCGCCTATGAGCTGTAAGAGTTTGAAGTCGGATCGAGAGAGTGTTGCTTCGAGATGTGGGTTACCTTGATTGGTATTGTCATTCGCCGAGGCGGAAGCGGAAGCGGAGACAGATCCAGATCCGACAACAGATTCAGCGTCTAGCACGAAGGTCGCAGAAGAGGACGCATGGTGAGAACCATTGCTATTGCCATTGCTATTACCATTGCCATTGCTCGTTCCATTGACACCGTTGACGGGTAGGGGAGCATTGGAACCCTTGTTATCGCCGTTATGCGCGCCGTTGCTAAGGCTGACAGTGTTGGTGGTATGTTCGGGCTTCTCCACATTGGAGCCGTTAACTTGATTACCAGAGGTCTTAGCTAACTGAGTAACTTTTGTATTGTCGGAAACGGGAACATGATCAGCATGGTCGACCAGAGCGGCTTCGAGGGACGAAGCAGGGATACCGTTAGACGAAGAGGCAGTTAGGATACGCTTGTTCGACTTGTTGGATTGCTTAGGAATCATAGGAAGAGGAATGGCAGGCAATACGACAGGTCGAGTCGGCGCAGCTACGGACACCGGTTTCTTCGCATGGCTAGAGACGGCCTTTCCAGGCTTAGTCTGACTCTTGTAAGGTGCCATGATGAAAGGGTAACGTCTAGTTTTTGGCCAACCTTTGTCGATGATGGACTGTTATCGACAGTCGGAGGCGATTCGGAAGAGAAACCCAAAAGTTAGGAGAAAATAGAGGGTATGGAGGTATGAAGGTATGAATTAAAAGAAGCTGGTGAGCGCAGGAGGTCCGGGGTGTACGTAGTGGGATGAGCAGGGTGTTAGGCATTCGACCGTGGCCATAGAACCAAATCCGGAGAAGTACGACTCAGCCGGAGCTCAAAGATGTCATGAGATTTAATTACACCATACCAGAATCGATTCAGGGTCGATCCAAGGTCGATCCAAGGAGTTGGCGCAGTAAGACGGAGAGGAAGAGGGGTGATATAGAGGAGAGAGAATATGAGGGACTAGAACGAGTTCAATAGTGGAGAAGGGAATAACAAGGAAGAAAGATGCGAAAAGTGAAGGCGAAGATGAAGGCGAAGCAACCGAGATGGAAAAGTGGTTCTACCAAATCGTTTGTCTCTAGTGGGAAGAAAAAAGGATTAATTGGGAAACGATTAAAAAAAGACTGATTATGACTGTGGATTGTTGATTCCTATCTTTTTAGGATAGGCAGGATAAATATCTGAGATGAACGACGGATGGTGGTGGAGGAAGTTTGGGGGCAGCTCCAGCAGCTTTAGCGGGGGGATGAAAAGTCCGAGAATTTTTTTAATTTTTTTTTTCTTATACTGACAACTGTCGGCGGCCGTTCCTCAGATCTTTGTGGCCCTTTGTGGAGCCAAGTAGGTAAAATGGTACCTGCCTGCCCCGCGCTTATGTACAGGTTGCTCCCCTATCAGGTAAGTACCTGATCTAGGTACCTAAGCATAACACATGCGGTGACCTCATAGGTACCTTATGTAAGTACCTAATAATTTATATGTAAGATGTACCTACCCCAGCTGCCTAGCTGCCCGGCTGCCCGGTAGAGGTTACCTAGGTAGGTACCTAAGGTATGTACCTCATAGTTCAGGCTGACAAACTGACATGGAAGTTCTTACCCCGAGACTGGAAGTGCCTAGCAACCTGGAACCTTACAAGTTGGGCAAGACCTAGGTTAATAGGTACCTTAGGTTATGCTGGTAGGTACACAAAGTGGCTTTTAAAGAGGCTCTTATTGTAAGCCACAGCTTTTTTCTTTCTTTTCAGGTTTTCTTTTCTTATTTTCTAATTTTATATTATCAACAAATGAATTTGACTTGCGTCGGCTAGTAAGCTTTCTACCGTATCTCTAACTGGGTAATAGGTACCTAATAATATAATTCATTTTTAATTTCGTAACGGCCACTCTGCAACATCTTCCTGAATCCTAACTTCGTTCTTAACCCATATTACGCCTGCTCGTTGACTATGTTTATCCGATAACATATCGTCCATACTGTCACTTCGTACCTTGGTATACGCTGCCGGGGGCCTCGACAGATCAGAAGCTTGCGAATATCCCGAATCCCGAACTTGACAAGATTTGTTAAGAGGTTTGCGTTTGCATGTTGTATATCGGGGTAGCTCGTTTGTATTTCTACTCTGGCAGTGATTCGAATAGGAACTCGTAAATCCCCTCGTCTTAAGATATAGCGGACGTAAGGTAGGAACACCGATGCAAACCATAGCCACAGCAATTTCTGCACCGGCCCAAGCAAAATAAGGTACGAAGTTTACTAAATTTTTCTTATTAGAGCATTGTAAAACATACTCACCGAACGAGTGATACTTACGTGTATAGTTAAATACATTTAGCTTAGATAAAACTACCGTCCTGGTAATACCACAAGCTCCAGCACTATAACTAAGAGTTAGCTTTGTTCTAATATGTACTACTTTGCTAAATCAGGTAGCCAAATATGAATAGGCAAGCTACATGAAAAATAAAACATTCGTAATTACTTACATTACTCCGAGGCTCATTCCACTTGCTAGCATAATTTTCTCTCGTTGAGACATGGGAAGAGATCGTATAAACAACCAAGGGAATATAGCGAAGAAAAAGTCGCAAATGCTAGACCAAACTAAACTTATTGTCAGCACTTTAGTTAACGGAAGAATACACAAAGCAAGAAACCTTACCTCCAAGACCAACACTCAGAGGCTGAATTCGTATATTCCATATCCCCGGCGTCCTCAACGGATCCCAACTTGCTTTGATTGGCGTCGTCTGATTCCAGAGCATAACCACGAGAATAAAGGATGTGGCAGTAGTGATGACAACAGCGGTCCAGAGTGCAATCTTATGCCACCTGACCTGAACTACTCGAAGGAGAAATAAGCCCATCGATAGCTTAGCCATCGCATTTCCCGTTATAGCAAAGGTATTCGCTACGTAAGTCCAAAATATAGAATTCGCGGTATCGTCGATACTAAGTGCCCAGAAGTTCTGTCCTAGCCCGTAATGGACCGAGATTTGTATGAAAATAGCAAATAAAAGGAAGAATATCTATATTATAAAAATCGAGTTAGATCATATACCTAGGTAGGTAGGTAACAAGTAAATTTGGTGCTAAGGGGGCTTACATACGCTGGTGCATGCGTACATGTAATCCTCAGCGCCGACAAACTTGATGATTCGAATGCGTGTATATAATCGGAGAGCTACCAGAGTGAGAGAGAGAATCACCATCGCCCACATGGCGTACGCCAACTGATGCCCTGGATGCATCGTAAGATGGCCAGTCGGTACGAAAGACGCCGGAAAGGTGAGATAAGTAGAAGAAAAAGCTGGCATGCCGGTCATTTTTAACCCAGAGACCATGTGGGCGAAGAACAGCCCGAGCCTAGTGGCCCCCGGGCATCGATCGACATCTGATATGGAAATATGAGTAATACTACATTGACGGCATATCAAGTTATCGGTCCAGACTGTGAACAAAGCCGGGGGATACTCCAATTGTATTGCACAGCGGCCATATAGCGTATGCGTGACGGGGATAGGCGCCGATGATAGTAGACCGAAGAGTCCACATTTTATATAACGAATCGATAATCATTGTATACAAATTAATCCACTTTCGCCATGATTTTCTACTGGAGTTGGACAAAATGATTTCTTTTACTTTCCGGATTGGTTGGAATATAGATATATCTAGCCAATTAGAATATAGCATTGTGCTAGGGTCATCCCCCCTTCCGATCCGGGACCGCCAATGACTTCTCATGGTGTTGTGATGGTCAGGAACACTACAAGGGTTAAGCGCCTATGAGACACTAGGATAAACTAGAAGATAGCTGATAGCCAAATTTGATATAAAGTCGATTGACTAAAGTACATATCTAGTGGCAATTATTTTCAGTCTTTACAGATTAATCAATGTTCAAACGATAGGTAAGAGATAGTGAAGTAGATCCATTAGAAGTCAACACTAGGTACCTCTTATGAAATATTAGCATTTATTACGCTCAAATGTATGAAAATGAAGTACCCATTGTCGAGTCCTTGCATATCTTGAAGTAATAGTAAGAACATTGTATAACTATTTCAACCATGTCTCATTGTTTGTAGTATATGAGTTGGGATATTAACTCGTAAAATTCAACGATTCCGATTCTAAGGATCGTACTTAATAGTTGTAGAGTTTTCCAATCTACAGTTATTCGACATCTATATCTAAGACCTCGAACTAAACTATATGTTCGTTAAATGAGAATGCATCAATAATCTAAAAATCATTAATAAAACCGAGATTCGTTATCATAAAACTACTAAAGCATTTATCTTCTATGTAAATTATTAAACCGTAAACTTCCAATCCTCTTGTTCAGCCATATTCTGCTTCGCAAGCACCCTCGGACCTTGCTCGCCTTCTTCCAGCCCGTTCCGCTTAGCCTCGGTGCTGCTTCTCCACCGCCACATCCGGCCGTACACTGTCTGTTCCCCTTTGCCCTCAAGGATCTTGACAACTTCACGGCCAAGGATAGGCAAGAATTTGAAGCCATGGCCGCTACCCCCGGAGCAGACGGCAACCCCGGGACGCCCAGGCACGAAGTCGACCACGAATGAGTTATCGATACTATCGGTATACCAGCAGAGTCTGGTGGATGAGATGCCTAGTGGAACCAGCTCGGGGAAGTTTATTGTTATGAATTCTATTACACAAAATAATTAGTGAGATGTTATTGATCGACGTAGAACTAGGAAGCTGAGTTTTGCGTAGGCCCTAACCTTTAATACCGTTAAGTGCATCGATCGGGATACGAGTCTCCTTTTGGTCGGTTACGTGTGCGGTTTTGGGAACTGATATTCGTCGTCCACCGACGTCTTGGAAGTTTGTCCACCTATTGTTAAATATATCAATATTAATTGCAAAGCTAGACAATATGAAATAGATAATCTTACTTTGTGCTCCGCCAGCCAATCTTGAAAACGCCATTTCCGTCTCTTGGGAGACTATATACATCCTTGCCTTGCCGAGAACCCCAAGTTATCACCGGTTGGTTCTCCGGGGCAAATCGGTCCCATAGATCGGACTGGTCTTTTGGGATATGTATATTGGCTACGGAACCGGCTGTAGTCTCCAGCAAACCCTGTACTTCCGGAATCAAAGACGGAGTCCATCCACCGCCTATTGTATTGTATAATTATTGATAAGCAGATATCTTATTATAGACGACATATACCTTGATTATTAAGAGAGAAATAAAAGGCTTACCGGCTACAACAACCAGATCGGCAGATAGCTCGAGGCCGTTAGCAGTAAGCACCACCGGGTGATTATCTTTTGTTATAATATCGACTACTCTACCACGCACTGGATCAAGTACCATCTTGACACCGGCTTGCCTCGCAAGATGCTGCGCCCAGGCACAACTCTTGTATGCATAGACGAAGCCAGCGGTAGAGTCGAGAACTGCCTTGTGCGTCCCGAATCTCTCCTGGTGGCGACAGGGATCGAGCTTATGCGCCCAACCTCGCTCCTTTGCCCGAGCGATATCTTTATGTCGAAAAGTCTATTATTTAGTATGATTTATCATGACATATATTTTACGCCCTGAACCTACCTGCCTCATCATCGCTCCTATATTGGAACTCCCTAATACCTTCACGATGCATATTTTCTAGCGTCGCGATTTCGAAATCGCCCAGTTCAGTCTCGGAGCTCATCCGTAGCATGCCTGAGTTCCACCAGAGTTTCCTCTCGCCTTCTCTCAGGCGCTCCGGTAGATCGTCAGTGGGCACCGCGGCGATCTCGCGGTTCCATTCGTCCCACATTCTGGCAGCCTCGGTAGCTAAGCGCTGATATTCAATCTCGGACCCATAGCTGAAGCGGATAATTTTATTCAGGTCAGCCGACGCCGAGTCGATACCCGATAGTGGATCATAGGCTGCTGTGGCAGTGTCCTGCATGTCAAGGACGGTTATGTCTTTGTAGCCGGACCGCGCGAGCCATAGTGCTGTTGAGATACCGAATACGCCTGAACCGACGATGATGATTCTGGATTCAGGATGGAGTGCTGCCATAACTTCGACTCGGATACAATGGGATAGAAAAACGAATGACGGTTAATGGTTAACGGTTGTATTACTAGAAATATTACCACGCAATATATAACCCCGCTATCTATATTCTATATATAGGTAAGAGGTATATATATTCATCTCCACTCCTGATTATAGCTCATTCACTAGTTCCCATTTTATGGAATATCAAGTGCTACCTTATGGCGGGAGTAGTATATTTAATAAAGCTATCGTGATGCCTTATCTCATGAATTCGTTTCATTACTTGACTAATAAAAATAAATTCAATGGTGTGCATGATAGCAGGAAGTCAAGATGTTGATTTGTTGCTAGATTTTTAATACAGCATCCTCTAAACCAAACACTAAAGTTGCATAGTTCTACTCGACCCAAATACTTTAAAGCCACATAATAAGTGTCGTAGATTTTTCTATTGTTTCGTCTATCTTAAGTCTCGGAGAGGATGCTCAGGCGGTAGACATAAAGTGATGTGGTGAAATTATTTACATAGGGAGGAGAATAGTAGATATTTACATTAAATACCTTCTTGTTCATACCATCCATGAATAATGCCGTCGGATTATAGGAAATTAATTCCAACACCGACTTGTAATCCTTTCCGACCCTCTTCTCCCCGCCTCATAACCAATGGCAAGCTGAAATTTAGCTCAAATCTTGCAATTGGGTGTGCATATACGAGCCCTACACCAGCAGCAATACTAGGTAGTCCGGTGCTGAGGTCCTTGGTTGCGGAAACCATACCGTCGAATACCGTGCTGGCACTTAGGCGTTGGTTGGCTGTCTTATCAGTATCACCGGATTTGTTCTTCATCGCTACCAGCCTGCCACCGTTGGCAAAAAGCTGCAGCCGGAATGGAGACTCAGGTCCAACCCGGGGTAGAGGGATAAGCATGTTTACACTCCCTGCCGCAAAAACATCGCCGCCAAGAGCATCGTTGCCATCTCTAGGACCGAGACCACCTAGCGAGAAACCTCGCACGTCTGTCGGGCCTCCGAGGGTGAATCGATCGTTAATCCGACTTGGCGACGCACCACCGAAACCGTACATTAAAGGAAGAGGATAAAGTAAACCCGCTCGGAAGCCACCGCCGATGGATACGCCAGAGGGTCCTCGAATCCCAGGTATAGGGATGGGTACTGCGCCGGCAACCTCCAACTCGCTCTTGGAGAAGCCGACATCTCCACCTAGGGATCCCCACCCGGCAAGCTCCGTGGCCGTCTTGACGAGGTATCCGCTTTGCGGTAACATAGGATTATCTCTCCGTTCTCGTTGGAATAGGTAAGATATAGCACTCTTAGCAGAGTCTCCTGCATCGCCTCGAACAGTAGGACTCGCTTCTGCTGCAAGGCCCGTTAATTGCCTCCAGGCACCGGAGTAACCAAGTTGATGTCGGTCACCATTGTCCTTCAGCCAATGCAGCTTGACGCCTCCGCCTTTTAGAACTTCCTCATGACTCGCCCATGGCTTCTGCGTACTACTAGCGAGTCCTTCAATACTGAGGCGCAAATTGGGATTGCTTTGTATCGGGGTAGCGAATTCGGCACTGTACGCTGAACGTGTTCTCGTACCGGCAGAGGCGTTTAGTGACAGGGATTCGGCACCTCCGAATATATTCCTCCATAACATAGATCCATACGCGGAGCCTTCTGTGTTGCCTAGGTCGGTACCGGTCTTGAGGAGGAGTCGAGACTTTTCGCGCACACGAAGAGAAATATCGAGGTCTGTTGGAGTAGAAGACGGGTCGAGATGAGGCGGTCGAGATAAGTGGAAGAGAATGTTGGGGTGGAAAATGTCTTCATAGATGATGTTAAACCAACACAAAAATAATGGAGGGGATAATTTAACACCATACCGAATTTCTGCAATTTTGCGACTGCTCCACTCACTTGATCCAGCATATCAGCAAGAGTATAGTCGGCATTGCGACTGTCGTTTAGGAGAGGCTGGAATAAGGGGGCGAGGAATGATTCGCGCGTATGTCTGGCGCCATTGATCTCGATAGAAGAGAGTGTGACGGGAAGTGTTTGATTTTGTAATAGCTAGGAATGAATATTAACAATTAGTAACCTCATAACTTGAAAATTAACTGAATATGAGATCCTATATGATGAGACTTACCAATTCGATTGCTCTTTGCTCGGATTGAGTATCATGAGTTTGGGCTCGTTCTGCTACCGCTCTCTGCTCTACAGATGCAGTCTCGGACTTTAGAAGACCTTCAAAAACCTGCAAATTACGTATATCACGCATTTATTAGTTATTGCTATAAGTTATACGGATCAGCACCTATAAAAATAATCAAGTTTATCTCACATCATTATTCTCGGGAGGACTATTACGAGCCATATTTAGCTAGCAGGGATAGCTACACGCCCGTCTGCTATAAAAATATGAATAACCGGTATATGATGTATCTTCCTCATACGATTTGAGAGATAGCTCGGACTGAGAATTATAGGTAATGAGTCGGCGCCAAAGCGCACCAAAGCTGAAGCTCGGTACGATCCGGAAAGATTCCACCCCCGGACCCGTGAATTTTGGGGATATCAATTTGTGGCACTTTAAGCTCTAGCTAGTGTAGTGTGGCTGAATGATGTTTTGCAGGTGCTACATGTACCTAAGTTCCACTCAATCCCACTAAGAGGTACGTACCTATCCCACTTAAGAACCTTAGGTAAGGTATGTATGTACCTAATCCGTACCTTCTTAAACTAAGGTTTCTTTGTCAGCAAATTCAATCCTATCAAGTAGGTACGTATCTAAAGTCTGGAATCTCATTCACTTCATTCACTTCCATCTCTCTTTAACAGGGGGCCTTTTTCTTGTCATCATCATCAGCCTCATCCTACTACTCTTCAATCGTAGTCCCTTCTTTTTTCTACCCCCTCCATCCAGCGATCGCGTCTAGTAAAGATTTTTACTTGACATATTTATTATTAATAACCTACCTATCTATTTTGTGTCCTTTCAATAGAATCCAATTCGACCCTATACTTCCTTACTACATCGGCTGCGAAGCGACTTGTAGCCATCGTGACACATTTCCTTTCTAAGAGATACCCTCACTAGAACACACCCGATCGCATCATGGCTAGCAAGCAAGCGAGCAAGCGTGTATGTCTCCACTATCCCCCTTGCCTATCATGACATGGGTATTTATCTAACCTGCATGTTGTCAATGTAGTTGGCCCGTGAATATAAAAGCATATCAGAGAACCCTCCTCCGTATATTAGCGCTCATCCGTCAGAGTCTAATATCCTCGAGTACGTTCTAACTATATCCTCTATATCCTCGATTGTCCTTAATTTCTAACAAAAAAAAAAGATGGCACTATATCATAACCGGCCCGGAGGATACCCCGTATCATAACGGCCAGTATTGGGGGACCTTAATCTTCCCGCCTAACTACCCTTTCGCTCCGCCGGCTATTCGAATGCACACGCCCTCCGGCCGCTTCCAACCATCCACACGGCTCTGCCTTTCCATCTCCGATTTCCACCCGCGATCTTTCAATCCAGCATGGGAAGTCTCGACGATCTTGATTGGGCTGCTGTCCTTCATGACTTCGGAAGAGATGACAACGGGTTCCGTGTCGGCTACAGCTCACGAGCGACGAATATTTGCGGCCAGGTCTAGGTGGTGGAACTCAACAGGAGGCGGCTCACACGCCAAGAACCCGGCACAGAAAGGAAACGTGAAGGCCGGAGACGGCGGCGCAAAGTTTAGAGCGGAATGGCCCGAACTAGACCAGGAGAACTGGCGATGGATGACGGAGAACAACATCGACGTAACGAGTGGAGCTAGGAATGGCGGAGCGTCGTGTGGACCACAGCTAGGTATTGCCGGTGGTAGTGGCGGGCAGACTCAAGCTGTTGTCGACGCCGTCGTACAACGACGAGATGCTGGCACTAGTTGGCTTGGACGTAACAAGTTACTAGTGTTTGGAGGTGTTATATTTGTTTATGTGTTAATTGCCCGTCTGCTCGGGGAAGGGGAGGGTACGTCATAATTTATGGCGTGGAATGCAAGTATCGTTCCTTTCAACGGCTTGTTTTATTAGCCGTCGCACAGAGCTTTCTTAGGTGCTTTGATAAAGTGCACGATTTGTGCCTACAGTCTTTTGGACTGGTATACAGGTCGATTATGGGGCGGCATAGACTGATTTCAGCAGAAGAACACCGTCAGGACCTCATCAGGGTTGAATTGGGTGTAAAGACTTATGGCGAGATGGGGTCGAGCCTCGTAATAACGTCTCGTACGTCCTCATGTAATAGATACTTAACAGCGATATCATTTCTACTATTTGCTTTGAATCGAGGAATCGAGGAATATATCGGCTAAGAATATTGCTAATTATCAGGTAGCCGGCATATAAGTGCACACATAAAACATTTTCCAAGCAGCACGTACATAATTAATAATTGTAACAGTTGACACTTTGATGCTATAAGAATAACCTTATGTTAGGTTAGGTACCTCCTATGAGGTACCTAGGTAGGCACCACCAACTGGTCCTGATCTTGTTAAGGCAAGTACCTGTCTAAATCAACCCATTCTCTCCTGCCTCTTGCCTTAGGTACATATCATTGTTTATCATTAAGATTTTCCTAATTTACCGCTTCTACTTGCGTCTAAGCACTTATTTTTTCTATCTACATTATTTCAGGTACTCAAGATATCTACGTTAAGCATCAAACAATCCCTTCTCACTTTGTGGCTCGCGAACAACGTCCAAGCAACAATCTGAACTTGTCTGTTCAATATCGATTGGTCTAGTACTTTGTGTGCTTATTTAGTAAGTTTTTATTTAATTCGTGGCATCAATTATCCCGTTTCATATTCTCCCTAGCCCTGATGTATCGTCATCGCCTACAATTTATTGTGCTATCAACCTTCTTCCCCGTCACTAACGCTTCTACTATAGATCTTCTCTGGCATATACCACATTTCCTGCTATAACCAGTCATCGATCTTTATCAATTTCCGCACCGTCGTTGTGGTTGTATAGCAGCCCGATATCTTGAGGATTTGCACCAAGATGACCTCTATCCTGGAGACTCCGCTCGATGACACGAGCGTTGACGTACGGTTAAATCCTTGCGATGATGTTACTAGTATTTCCACTGAGATCGACGCCTCGGAATTAGCTGTCTCTCCTAGTAAAACTGATAAAATCGCAACTGTCCTGGCTACTACTGGTGATGATACCACAGTTCTATCTGATGGAGTCTCTGCCGACCAATTCAAGGCTACCGACAGCTCTGCTAGCTCTGTTGTATCCATCCAAGAACCACATCACTGGGAGGAACAATCGCTTATGGATTCGAGTTCCTCCAACATGGCAAAATCAATCATTTACTTTGATATCGACAGCGATCTTGATATTCCGCTCTACACTCAGCGCGGTCCCACTGTGTGCAAGGTCTCATCAGCTCATCTTGCTCTTGCATCTCCTGTGTGGCGCACCATGCTATATGGCAATGATGCTGTCAAGAGATCAGATGTAGAAGATTGGGTGGTCTCTATCGAAGGCGACGCCTCTGCCTTGATAACCCTATTCTGCATTATTCATTATGAGTTCAACAAGATACCCACTACAATGTCTCCGGACGAACTCCATTCTATTGCGGTCGCCATTAATCAATACAAATGTGCTCATCTGGTCTATCCTTGGGTAGAGATGTGGGTCAATAGACTCCCGGAATATGATACCACCAAAGAATATCACCGTAACTCCCGCAAAACCGTATTCATTGCCTGGGTATTAGGCGACATTTCACTCTTTCGCTGCTCGGTTGAACAAATTGTTCTTAGTTCCAAGTTAATTGATGGTCAACTTGTAGACGCTGATGGAAAGTCATTGTCTGATATGAAAGACATCCATAAGGACCTATCCGGTAAATAGATACTAGCAAGGATTCTATTCTTGGTTGCTTGCTAACCTTCATATTTAGGATGGATCCGTACTGCGAGATTCGAGATCATCAGTCAAATGCTGGATGCTCTAAAGGAACCCTTTAAACGACCAACATCTGCTGATGGATCTTGCGAACCACCCTTCTGCAAGCTAGGTTCGCAACAGAAAGAGTGTGAAACTATGATGCTAGGGTCCATAATTCTACAACTCGTCGCTGCTAAACTATTCCCGGCACCCGAGGCACACGAATTTACGGACAGCATAGAAACTCTGCAATCGAAAATCAAAGCGATCAAGTACACACCTTACGAGGGTCGCGATTGGATGCCACACCTATCTCATGTTGGCTGTAGCCTTGGATATAGTGAAGCGGCAGAAGAAAGCGTGGCAAATATGCGAATTCCGCTCGATCATGGCTTCATGAGTGGTTTTTTTACAAGAGCTCGCGTCTCGGGCGTCAAAAAGAGCCTAGAGTTTGACGAATGTTTTCATGAGATGTACGCGATGTAATTAGGCCACATAGCTACCTACACTAAGAAGCAGTTAAAGGAAGCAACCGATGGTGGGGGATTAGTTAGGGATAACCTCGTTATCCTATCGGCGCGATGATATTTTTGGGACCCTCGAGACTTTATTATGAAGGTCGACATATTGAAGAGTGACACTGAATTCGGTTCTTGGTTTTCCCTTGGTCTTTTCTCATTCTCCGCCAGCTTTACTTGATCTATGATTAAGAGTCTCGAAGTAAACATCGCGGCTGATCATAGGAGGAGAAGTGACGTTCGAGTCTGTTTCTCGCTTGGTTGAAGTCAGTACCTAGGTAGGTAGGTACCTAGGTTAGTTAGTTAATAATTCATGCTCTTGTAGATGGAATCTGCCATATCGAACTGAGTATCATACAACTATGTTGGTACATTCATGAAATGAAGCGTCTACCAATCAATCAATACGTAAGATTATATTTGTTATTGAAGAAGGCAACTTTCTTCCTAAATACTCCCAACAACTGAATGTCGTAATACATGTATTTTTGACATTTTTAATTCACATATTTATTGGAAATGCTGACTTCGCTCAATGGATTTTTAAAGTAACGAATGAAAATAGTTGGTATTATCGTGATAATGAATGTTTGTCTATATAAATGATAGTAACTTGATGATTTCCCCTTTCATCTCAACTGCTGTCAGTGAGAACCTATTAATACCTGTCAATAGGTAGGTATACGATATATGACTTCCGTTGCCAACTTATGAAAGAGCGTATGCTTGGCTGTGCTTTGGAGGCACCATATAGGGGCAATGACTGGGTGGTAGATAAATAATAGAAATCTACCTATACTCACTCTGGCTTCTTGGAGTATCTGGATGATCAAATATAACTTGACCGGCATGACGGGACTGCACCATATCAAACTCTCAAAAGCCTGCCGACAAGTTTGGTATGTACTGATCTATACCTCCATACTAGCAGATTCGGCATGGACGACAATCCCCTTATAAAAACGCCGTTTCCCTGCTTTCCATCCTTCTACTAGAACAACGTACACTACAACACATGCTGCCACAATGGCCCACTCTATGCCAATACCTTGGTGTTTGAATACCCTCTTGTCGATGACCGGTAGGTATATGACAGGAAAAGTGATAATGAAACCCGCGAGAACGGCTCCAAAGAGGAACTTGTTCCCCCAGACTGTCTTAAAGATCGAAGAGGGGCCAGTGTAGGACTCAGGATACATATTAAACAGAGAGCGTGTGAAATGCTTGACTTCCCAGGCTGTAACGAGAAGTAGAAAGCTAAGGGTAGCAAATGTTGTGGCGCGAGCTCTGAAAACGTAATAGCACGAGGAATTATACTCTGCGTTGCAATCGGCACCTAGCGCTCCGGAGAGTGGCAGCTTAGAGTAACTGGCCTCGATAGGAGTGTAGATGACGGTGGTAAAAGCTGCAATGCATAGCGAGCCCATGAAGAAACCATATACCATCTTGTCGATAATGATCTCTTTTGTAAATATACCAATGCGGTGGTCATGCGGTGGCTTCAGCATAATGTCTGGCTGTGCTTCTTCGAGGCCTAGGCCAAGGGCTAAGAAGGACGATGTGATCAAATTGGCCCATAGGATCTCGATAGGGGATAGTGGGAAGACCGATTTATTATTCTGGTCTTTGAATGCGAGACCAATAAGTAAGAGGATAACCTGGGCAATGTTGGAGACCAGCAGGTGTAGTAGAAACTAGGCAGTTCAATGTTTATTAGCAATTGTTTATAAATTATTAGTAGGATGTAATTCTTTACCTTCTGAATATTGTCAAATAAGCGTCTGCCTTCTTCCACTGCCGTTACAATTGAGGCAAAATTATCATCAGTGAGGACCATATCTGCAGCCTCCTTGGCTACATCGCTACCATTTAATCCCATGGCAATACCAACATCTGCCTTTTTCAAAGCAGGCGAGTCATTGACCCCGTCGCCAGTCATGGCACAAAATGCGCCACGACGATGTATCGCTTCAACCATGCGTACTTTTGTCGACGGAGTACAGCGTGCGAGTACTACTGGGAGTTTCTCCAGTTGGTCAATCTGGTCGTCGGTTAAGGCGTCGAAAGTAGTAGCAGGCATGATATCGTCGGATAGACTAGCGATAGCCATATCGTTAGTGAGAATTCCTACTTCGTATGCAATAGCCGTCGCCGTCTTGATATGATCTCCGGTAAGCATGTGAACAGATATTCCGGCGACCTTGCATTTCCTAACAGCATCGGCAGTCTCTGAGCGAGGAGGATCATAGAGGCCGGCAAGTCCTAAAGGTACCAACTGGTCTTCAGCAGCTTTGCGCGAATCCCCAACGTCGGCGATATTTTGAATGACCTTGTGAGCAATGCAGAGGACTCTAAGACCTTCGGCAGCAATCGATTCAGCTTTAGTGGTTAACTCAGCCTTAATAGAATCAGATGCATCTAATAATGGCAACATTACTTCTAATGCCCCTTTAGTAAATACATCCACTGAGCTAGAGTTGGCTGATGAGTATATGACAGTCATACGTTTGCAGGAAGAATCGAACGGATGCTCTGAGAGTATGTGCATGTCGTCTGCCTGAGATACGGTAGATTTTCCCATACCAAACCGCATAGCGAAAACCTGAAGAGCGATCTCAGTAGGCTCACCGACCGCAACCCAATTCGGTACCGCAAGGGTCGACGTAGTTAGGGTTTCAGCTGCGTCGTCGTTAGGCGTCGGCTTACCATCCGTAACTGTAGAATTGTTACATAAGGAGATGCATTCCATAAACTTTTTAGCGGTAGCGGATAGGTGAGACGTAGATTTGAGCTCATCTTGCGGCTCTAACTCCTGGCTATTCCAAGTGACCCTTCCGCTGGACGGATCGAAAGGATGAGTACAGGCTTCAACGATAGCAGTAGACCCATCGCAGAGCCAGATCTTTCTAGTAATCATCTTGCCTTGAGTCAAAGTGCCTGTCTTGTCAGAACAAATATTGGTCACTCCCCCAACAGCCTCCAGGGCTGCAAGCTTTCTCACGATAACGTTACCCTTAGCCATCGCCTTCGTCCCTACAGCCATACTAATCGTTAAGACAGCAATAAGAGATTCTGGAATAACAGCAACACCAACACAGATACCGTAGATGAGAACCTCGTCATCAATATTCCACACACTAGCAGAAAAGACGATGACGGCGAGCAAGATTGCTAGGGCGAAAAGGAGCAAGGCAAACTTGCTCAGCTTAACCTGAAGAGGCGTGCCGTCGAGTCCTAGGATGCTGCGCCCGCTGGCCTTTGCTCGTTTCAAAAAAGCACTTAATTTGGATATGTTGCCATTCGAACTGGGGTTAGCTCGGAGTAATTGAGCAATCTTTCCTACTTCAGTTTCCATTCCAGTAGCAGCTACGATGCCTTTTCCTCGACCGCGCGTGACGGTGCTGGCGCAATATAACATGTTCACGCGGTCACCAAGAGGAACATCGTCAACATCGTCCAGGATAACTTCTGGATGCTTGCTGATCGGTAAAGACTCTCCTGTTAATAACGCCTCATCAGTAGATAAGTTTAGTCCATCGACAAATCGGATATCTGCTGGGACAATATCGCCAACATTGAGTAATACAACATCGCCTCTAACAAGTAATTCCGCCTTGATCGTTGTGATCTGTCCCGAACGGATAACCTTGCATGTCGGCGCGGATAACGCGTAGAGTGACTGGATAGTCTGCTCAGCACGATAATCCTGGATAAATCTATTAACTATTAGTATGGGAGATGACATGTTTTACTTGCGAAGGAAGATCTTAACGATCGGGGATTTATAACGTACCCCACAATGATATTAAGTGAGATAACAGCAGCAATAACGCCGCCTTCGATGAAATCGTTAATGGCAAATGAGAGAGCCATAACAAGAATGAGAACCATTGTTAAGCTGTTAGATATCTGCCTCAAGAGAATCTTCCACACGGATAACCCTTGAGCGCTCTCCATCTTATTCGGCCCATAGCGCTCCAGACGATGAGCTGCTTCACCGCACTCGAGGCCATTATGAACGTCGGTTTCGAGAAGCTGTTCTATATCTTTAATCGCTAAAGTATGGGGCTTAAGATGGTGATCTTCAACGGAAGAAGAAGAAACTGTCTTTTCCTGAGACTTTTGGTCTGGAAGCACAGTAGCTTCCTGGTTCCTGCGGCCGAGCGAAGTTTCTGGCGTGGCATTGATATGGCCGCATATAGGGGGTTCAGTCGACTCTTCGACGGCAGGTTGGTCTTCTACACCCATTCACGTGTCGTCAATTAGTAGCTAGTATGACAATCTAAATGAGATAATCCACAAAAGGGATCTGAGAAATTGCGGCCGAAACCAGATCGTGGGTAGGACGAGGATAGATATAGTACGATCTACTAACCCTGCCGAGCTCATCCATTACTATGTAGTCCGGCGCCCAGAGTACGCCAAGGGCTCATGTCGACGCGAGTGAGGCGAATTGCGCATAGTATGTGTGTCGGAGGCGCTGATTGGGCCTTGCCAACGAGGAGGATTATTGACGATTGGAAAGCCAAGCAAGTGCTGCGGAGTAGCAGTTTATGGAACTAAGAAAATATCTAATAGATACATAAATGTAATTGGTAGCAACGAATAAGAATTAGTATGTCTATGAACGCTTTATTGATAAGGCGTAGTAATTAGGAGATGATAAAGGGTTGGAAGCGGTCTTGGAAGCTTCGTAGCTTCTCCGCCCTCTGGAACGCCTCTGCATGACCTTGCGTGACCTTGACGTCTATTTCTCGGCAGGCAGGTATAATGAGGCGACACTTTACTCGTTACGGAAGGCCAAGGTACCAAGATATTATGTACTACGTAGGTATGCTACTTAGTGCTGCCTCGGCTGGTGGTAGCGCACGATAGTGAGGGTTCGAATAGGATTGTTACTGTTTCGTGATAAAATACGTGAATAGGCTTGGATAGAGAAGATAAAGGACATATGAATTTAAGGCTGAA